GGGACCACGAAAGGAAAGGCGATTTTTATTAGGTCTGTAGTTTTTGTTTTGGTATTCTGTTGGACTTAGATTTTTATTGAATTTTATGTGATTCTAATAAACGTACGCAAAATTTCCGTATTCCTCATTTAATTACCTATTTTTAGTTTTTAAAAAAATATACAATAAACGGCGATATGGTTTAGCCTATAGGCAGCATATTTGTAAATCCGTCTCTGGCGCTGCCTTACCAATTCGGCTATCATGACGTTAGATGCCTGGAAAATAATCAAAATTTTTTAATAAAACACTGTTATATCATCGTCTAAGGAAGCATATCTGACGCATGCAGATACTCCTTTTGGTCGTCTGTTTGGGTTAAGTCTCATGAGATACATGATAACGCAAACACGTGAAAAGGAAGACATTTTTAAATCCAAATACCATCGCGAGAATCCTGAAAAGAGGGACCTTCCATATAGTTTGAACTAGTCTTGTATAGTCTGATAAAAAAAAAGATCTGGCAGAGCTATGTAGTCAAAACAAGAAACTTTACGCTAGATATCAGTAAATGAAAACGCCAATTAATTATCCCGAGAAAGCTCAAATAGACCTTGAATTTTTATGGGGTTTCCAAGGCATAGTACAAGGCATAGTACAAGGCATCTCTCAAATAGTAAACACAAAAAGAATAACATAAATTGTAGAATAAATATTCAGAATCGAGACAGGCCAAAGAGCGCGTAAAGGAACCGTCGGCCGTCTGCTAGATTAAAAACGACCAATGTTTTAGGACAACAATAAGTCTTCTTACTGGGCACTATCACCTAAAAAAGCAAATGAGTCATTAATCCAGAAAACGAAACAACACTGTACAGGTTGCGTTAAGGAGAAGAAAAGGAAATACTAATCCATGCCTTGTGCCAGTGTGAAGTCCTGGCTAGATTGGGGTTCTTAACACTGAGGGACGCCAAAAAGCATGTAACGACATGCGGGAGCCACTGTCAGCATTACTAAGTCTAATAAATGATGATAGAGACTAAAAAACCGAGACCCCATAATAGATCTGAAAAGGTAGCGATGGACAAGCACCCCTTCAGAATGTAATATCATTTAGGCCCAAAGAATCTCTATCTCTTGGAAAATATAATATGTTAACTTTTAAATCCTGACTCTAGGAGAACGGTATAGAAATACAATGCTGTTGAATAAAGATAAATTGAATAATACGTAACATCTGAGCATGCGCAGATCACTAACTTTAGTAAAGATTGTGCCTATCCTTAATAGAGAGATATTGCAAATTTCTATAAAGCCAGCCACTAATAGTGACATCGTAATTAGAGTCAAATAAATTCTATAATATTACCTAATATTAAATAGGCATTATAAATTATAATTTTAGAAGGTTTAAATGACGAGTGCATCCGAAAGCTATAAAGTCGCCACTACCTGCAGCTCTTAAACATCCACAATTAAGGACAGGCACAATCCTTAATAAAGTCAGTTTTAGAACATAAACATCTGCGCATGCTTAGATGTCAAAATAAGAGCGGCACTAATAGTGTGACTGACCCTAAGTGAACTTGCAATAACTCTCTTTTAAGGACAGGCACAATCTTTGTTAAAGTTAGTGATCTACGCATGCTCAGATGTCAAAATAAGAGCGGCACTAATAGTGACTGACCCTAAGTGAACCTGCAATAACTCTCTAATTGCAATATCTTTCTATTAAGGACAGGCACAATCTTTATTAAAGTTAGTGATCTGCGCATGCTCAGATGTCAAAATAAGAGCGGCACTAATAGTGACTGACCTTAAGTGAACTTGCAATAACTCTATATCAGTTGATAGTTATTGTAAAAGTTAAGTTGAAATAAAAAGAGGTGACAGCGGAGGGTGAAGGATAAAAGTGCATGGTAAATACTAGATCCACTGAGTACGAAAAAGATGTGGATAGTTCAGGCCCACCAGCATGGTTTTTGAAGATGAAAGAGAAAAAGGAAAGGCGTAGGAAAGTAGAAGAGGAGAAAAAAGAATGGCGTAAGAAGAAAGAAGAAGAGAAGAGGAAAAGGCGAGAAGAGAAGGAGGAGAGGCATAGAAAAGCGGAGGCGGAGATTATGAAAATCTAAAAAGTAATTTAGAGAACTTAAAAACTAATTTAGAACATTAACAAGAACAGGCTAGAGTAGAGTTGGAAAGGCGAATTAGAGCTGAAATGGCTGAAATAGAGAAAATAATTCGTAGTCAAGCTTCCGTAAGCAACATTGAAGCTGAAAACACTACCTCGTCCTGATCTATAACCGAACCAAGCCATATCCAAAACCCAGTTTCGCAAAGCCATACTAACAAGACCATTAAGCCACCCACGTTTGACGGTCAGACAACATGGGAAACGTATCGACTCCAATTTGAAGCTGCAGCTAGAGCCAATGGTTGGACATAGAAACAGATGGCGGCTGCATTGATAGTGTCGCTGTGAGGACAAGCAGCAACCATTTTACAGTTACTTCCTCAAGAAGAACCCAGTTAGTCATCTCTTGTCCAAGCTTTGGAGACAAGATATGGCCAGCAGCATTTGAAACAGGTATTTCAAAGCAAGCTAAAGGTTCGTAGTTAGAAACATAATGAGAGTCTACAGGAATTCGAGGCCGACATAAGAAGATTGATTCATTTGGCCTATCCACAGGCGCCCTAATATTTCCAGGAAAAAATTGAAATACAGGCATTTATTGATGGACTACAAGATGTGGAAATGCAGCAAGCCCTTCGTCTACAACATCACAAGATGCTGAAGGAGAAACTGAGGAAAATGAGAAAGCCAATACTAATACTATTCTTCGACCTACATTCTCACAAATTTTGAATATCCTACAAAATTAGCAACGAAACAGCCAAGATGGAAGCAGGATATGCTTTAATTGCGGAAGAATTAACCACCTTCAAAGGAAAAGTCCTGTAGAACTGGGAAGGCCCTTACACCGTCCTCAAGAAAATCAACGACCTGATCTATCGCATTCAGTTGTCAGTGAGAAATAAACCTAAGGTAGTTCACATTAAAAAGTTAGCGCCATATCGTGGTTCAGATCCTCCTCGTTGGCTCCAACCAGGTCCCAGTTATCAAGTTATTCGGATCGAATAACTAGAGAGGAGGGAGTAATGTTACGCAGCACCCTGCAGCGTGCGGCGGTCGTCATAAGTAAAGGTTCGAGTAAAAGAAGAATGGGGAACATTCGAGAAATGCCATTCTACGTCAAGAAAAATCTACGATACGAGAAGGTTCGAGAATGTAAAAGCAAGCTATATATGTCGGAGATCCTGACGTTAGTCAGTCAGTTTTATGATAGACGTTATACGTTAAAGTTATCAGTTGATAGTTATTGTAAAAGTTGAGTTGAAATAAAAAGAGATACCAAAAACCTGCGTAACAATATTTTAAAATGGCTTCATTCTAAAAATTAGAGTTACCAGACGTACGAAATTTGTTTTTGATTATAGTTTTAGATATAAATAAAGAACATTGGAGAAAATGCATGGATCATGTTAAAAATATAGAAAATTCATTTTGGAAAGTGGATATAGCAAAGAAAACCTTAATAGACCCTACAATAATAAATCTCAGAAAAACAATGATAATGATACCAGTAGTTATAGTAAAGACAGTGACTTTTAAAAATAGTTCTTGATTTTTGTTTTTAGGTACTAAAGTTTTACTTTTAATGCCAAGAGATTAAAAAAAGGTTTAATCCCATTAACAACATATAATCCTCCTTGTTATTTATTAGTTAAATTTAATTCGTTTAATGTTAAAATGCAACAATTTGGTCAGATGCAGTACCTAGGTTTATGTTTGTTTTTTGTAAATAATATATTTTTTTTCTATTAAAATTTAATCTACGAAGTGCGTGTATATTATTTTTTATGCCGTGACCTTATTTATATTATAGAAAATTATTTGGAAAAGTACGCCTATGGAAGGTGACCTTATATCCCTACTTTTACAGTACTCCTGTTTTATTCTGACTATAGTTAAAGGTAAATTATTAATGATAGGACAATTCTTTATTTTTTAAAAATGTAAAATAAAACTCGTGTATGTAAAAATTTCAAATTTAATAAATACTCATTTTTAATTTGTTCCAACAATGTAAAAGCAAATATGTAGACCTAAGCGCATCAGTGTTTTATTTTTCATAATAAATTATAATAAAGTATTATCCCCTAGCTTGGGTCGATTATGTTCGGGTTCTGGGAAATAAAAAGGTGGCAACCCTAGTACCACAGAAGATTCTTTATAGTTATGTGCTAGTACCAAGTCTAAACTCGAACAAATTTCGTATGGTGTTGTAAAAAACGAGAGTCTACGAAAAGTGAAGCTAAAAGTTTAGGATAGATTCTTTGAATGAAGTACCCTCACAGAAAGTGTGCTAAATTGTAGGAATACTATATAATTTTATATATCTTAATTGCCTTTTAAAAGTAACTCTCCATAGACTAGGAGCCGCCACTCATTCTACGTAAACAATAAGGTAATTATTTATTATTATTATTATTAATAAATACCTAAGTAATAACCGTAGTCGATATAGTATACAACTAGAGTAAATTAAGAAAAACTTTATCATCTCCATTGTAGTGTGAATTATCAACTTGTTTCTTAATTTATGTTCATCTACATAGATATATCAAAAAAGCAACATCAAAATATCAACATAAATATTACTTTTTATTGAATAGAAAATTTCCTCAATTAATAAGTCATTTTTAAAACGTTTCTGAGGTAAATTCGTGTTTGTCCACTTATCTTAACGCGTTAAGATTCCATTAATTAACCAACAGTAATAAAAATACCTAGTGGTATATTATACAAACAAATGTAAATAAATATATACAAACACGTGGAAACGTTCTATTAAAATTATTAAAAGTATTATTACTTAATTTGCTTAATTTATTTTAAATTTTGTAATCTTACTAAAACGCCACTGTTAAAATATTATAATAAATTCATTTGAGCTTACCTTGTGCAACTTGTTTTAGATCCATACCAAGGTCCTTTGTTACCCTCAACGTCATATTGGTTACGAGTGTGTTGCAACTCCATTCTGCAAAAAAATATTCCATTAATATTAATACTAAGCACTCCGTAATCCAACAAAATGATTGTAAATTGTGAAGTACATTATAAAGACAATTATTCTAGATGACCTTCTTAGATTTGTAAAGTTAACTGAAAGATGTAAGTAATAGATACATTATCAGTAAAATAAGATTACTGTGAAATACTATTATGCCACATTTTTAATCCCCAATACAAGGGTCAGATTATTATTTTTTTATTTAATTCTAAAATGAATACTGTGAATATTGAAACGAATAGAAAATACTATACCTAGACATAATTATTAATGGTGAAATAAAATTAAAAGATATGTTACAGCCAAAAAAAACCTCATTGAAAAAGTGTAAAATCCAAACAGTTAATAGTTATTTAACAAACAACTATTATAAACTAATAAGAGAGACATTTTAAAACTGAGCTTTAATGATTAATCACATTTACTAATATTTAAAGTTATTATATTTGCTAGTCAATGCATATACGTTTTCTAAAACCTGACTTAGTCAAATTGAGGAAAATAAAACTTCTTGGTGCATATTTTACGATACTTTTTAATATGATAAATTGACTTTTATTCTCATTCAAAACAAAATAAAATATTTATCTGAATTTACCTGGTCATATCTCAAATATTACTTTTACATGATAAAAATAAAAAAAATGTTTTATATATATTTAAATATTTATAAAATTAGATCTATATCAAATCTTTTTTATGTTGTGAAAATTCATTTAGGTGTAAAATTTACTAATATTCTATCTACCCTACTTTTTAGTCAACTGATGTAAATAAACAACATAATCTTTATTATTCTAAATTTAAAAATATGCTTTAGATCATAAATATTTTGCACAAAATCATAACGTGTTTTTTTTATATAACATTTTTTAATAAGCAATGGCTTTTCGTACCAACTTCAATATATATTTTCTTAGAATAATTTGAAAATTTGAAAACAAATTTCAAAAACCCCCCTACGAATTATTAAGACCATCTCCGGACCCAAAAGTGATATGACCTTCATAATAAAAATAATTCTATTGAAGAAGTCATAAGACATGCCCATAGGAATGATGGTGTACCTACCAAGCGATTTAAAAGACCGAACCATTAAATATGACATACAAGATTAGCTTAAACAATAGCTATGGCACGTCTGGGACAACACATCAAAGTGATGACTTAAGATTTTTATTTTGATATATATGATTTGTTCGTTGAATAAAGATTCTGTTGAGTTTGTCATTAAGAATTTTATTGTTTATTTCTTGAAACCAAATATTTTTCTATACATAATGTTTCTTAAGTAGGCCATTTCTGGCCAAACTAGAAACACGATGAATATACGTTTTTAGTGCGAATACTTTCAAGAATATATTGGATACCTAGCATATTAACGGTATTCATACGTATTACGTAGTGCATAAAAAACGTCTTTTATACCAAAATATATTCGTATAAATATACTACAACTAAAAATCTAATATAGACGTATAGTAAATACGGTTAATTATAGGTGAATAAATTAGTATTAATCAACGTTTAAGCATATGATAAATATTATACGTTTATTTCGCGGACATTTTCTCGAATATATTGGGTATCACATCCACTATATTGGTATGACAATAGCTAAAAAAAATACGTAATTTATAACAAATTGTGTTATCTGGGAAATCTCATAAATCCTCTACGAATTATTAAGATCATTTTTGATCATCAAAGGTGAAAACACATACTTGGAAATTTTAAAAAAGCATGTCGCCGCTGGGATTCCAACCCAGACATTTTTGATCTGTCTACAAATGCATGAACGGCAATTTGATGTGCTAATTCGGGCTATATTATTACTGACTAAAATCCAACGACCGCCAGACCTACATTATAGTATGAATGTTAAGATTATTATTCTTGGTGTACATTATATGAGATAATAACGTTTGGGTGTTATGAATCTTCACAGGGAGATTTTATAGATAACAGGTCCTCAAAGTACCAACAAATATCAGAAAAAACGTTATAGTGTAAAAGATGATTTTTAATATGTTCAACTGAATGACATTATATTGTACAATCAATAATTGCCTAATACTGTACGCGGAGTGTTAACGTCTGCCAAACGTTTTCAAGGTTTCGAAAAATATCTGCACTTTATAGAAATCTTGTTTATTTCTAATTACCCAGAAAATTTTATTCTTGGCAAAAGTTAGTATATAATCTACAAACTCGATACATATTAAAAAATTTGAACCATATAAGGGGGATTTAAGAAAATATGAATAATGATCCCTTATTTTTCAAAACAGAAAAATATTTAAAGAACTTGTTTACAATCATTATTTTTCAGAAAATATGAACAACCTGACAAATCCGACGGGTATAACAGTAAAAGGCCAGGACTTCCTAATTCGTCGTAGTAAGAGTATTACTTGAGTTTATTAGTGAACTCAATAAGAAATGAAAATTTTTCCTATATCATAAAGAATAATTTTGAATATAGTGTGTTGAAAAAATTTATACCCTATAGAACATTTTCCGATTGTTAATTTCTCAGAAAATATAATTCTTAATAAAAGTTAGTACGTGACCTAAAACCCAGTACAAACCTTATACATGGGAGGTCAAAAAATATGAATTTGGCTCATTAGTATAGATTTTTTTTTTTTTTTTTTTCAGAAACTAACCCTATTTTTCTATTAACTGGTAAATAATGATTTTAAATAAGTGTTTTGAGTAACATTTTTTCTGGTTTTAAAAATAAGGGTTTTTTGATTTTGAGCTAAATTCATTTTGATCTTCCTCGTACATGACTCAATTTTCTTTTAATATCAGGAAAGTGTTGGTTGGAGATTATAATGTCAACCAGTTAAACGTATTATATTAGAAAATCAGATTTCACACTACAACGATTTTGCTCGACATTTGTTGGTACCTTGAGGACCTATTATCTACCAAACACCTTGTATCAAGAATTATAACATCCAAACATTATCTACTATAATGTGCTCACCCTTAAAAAAGCTTAACCTTTATACTATAACGTAGGTCTAGCGGTCTCTAGCTCTCACACTGTTTAGAAGGAAATTAAATTTATTTAATAATATAAGAATATCGATAATTTGAAAAACGTATTTTCGAATATCAAGAACTTGCGGTGATACTGACAGTGATCATGCAGTTTTCTAAATTCTATGGTCAATTCTATACACTTATTATGAACTATATCCTATAACTTGGCCTTTAGATTTATTACGTTTCATGTCTGGAAATTAAACGTAAACATAGACCCAAATAACGTTCTTCGAATGTGGAATTAAATTCTAATATCAATATATAATCATATTACTTCCAGTAAAACTAATAGTTTTTGATGTTCAAGAAGCTTACAATATAACTTTCATCTAAATTTTATTTAATTATGATAATTATTGTAACAATTAACAAAAGTTGGCTAATAAAAATAAAGTAATAAAAGTCTCTTTGAAGTAACGAATTGATTTCGAACGCTTCTAAGGGTACTATGTTGACTAAATATTATACCTATGTTATAATATTACCTTTATTCCCTTGTTTCAGCAGATTGTACTAATTTTCTGCTGCCATTGGCTACACTAATTGCAAACTTTATAAAAAGTAAAATCCAACATAATTTAAATTATGTAAGCAATATATCGTTGCACCTTTATAGGTAACTAACATTCATATATGTCTCTAATTGTATATATGTACGTTTTCTCAACTAATGTCCTATAATTAGATTTTCCGCACATTATATCAATTATTGGTAATATTTACTCAAATGAGATAAAAAGTAGCAGGAAAATTTCTACTCTCGAGTATCAATTAATTTTATTGTAGTTGTCAAGGTATGCATATTCGATGTAAGATGCATACAGTGTGAACAAAAAGAACCAATAAATTTCAATATGAACTAAAGTGTTATAATTTTTTGCACAAACTGTAATTATATACATATTAAAAATATTAAAATTTAACTCATTATGGAGCCTTTGTATGATTTATACTTAAAAAATTAACCGTCTTTCCATCCAGAAAAGTTTATCCAAATATGTTTAAACCTGACTTAAAACAAATGTGTATTCTAATATTTAATTTATTTCACAAATAGATTAATTCGACCTATTAATAAGCTTCGTTTAAACTTTAAACTCTTCTGGCTCTATAAACTTCCAAATTTCAAAAAACACAGTTGACATAGAAAACCGAAACCCAAAAAATGGGTTACAAAAGCATTTACCGCTCTTAATTATGGAAATATACATAAATATTGCACAAAAAAAATACATAGTTTTTTGAAATTTTTTGAAATTTCTTGAAATTTCTTGAAATTTTTTGAAATTTTTTGAAATTTTTTGAAATATTTGGAAATTTTTTGAAATTTTTTGAAATTTTTTGAAATTTTTTGAAATTTTTTGAAATTTTTTGAAATTTTTTGAAATTTTTTGAAATTTTTTGAAATTTTTTGAAATTTTTTGTAATTTCTCGAAATATTTTTAAATTTGTTTTGTTTTATTAATTTTTTAAATTTTATATTTTTTATTTATTGAATTTTTTTGACCTTTTTTTAATTAGTTTTGAGTTTCTTTAATTTTTTTGGAATTTTTATTACTTTTTTAATATTTTTTTGAAAAAAAAAAAAATGCCTAAAATATTTTTGGTCCTACCAATGATGAACATCGTTGGTTACTATCACTTAAAAAACGGATATTCAAGAAAGTATTTTTTTAGAAAAGTAATAAAAAGCCTCATAATGTATAAATAATTTTTAATTAGTACATAATTTTGAATTAAATTTAAAGGCTATCATAAAGATCTCCATTCAATTATAGTATTACACCATATTACAACTTCTATTTATTTCTTGATTAAAACAAATTAATAATGTAAAGTAGCCATTGAAAATATCCAATATCTTGTTAGATACTTAGATAAGATCATGAATCTTTAAAAATGTTGATTCT